TGCCGATGCAGAAGATGGAAAGACCCAAGCGGCTCAGGCTAATGAAAGCCTGTAATCCCCGTCTCCCGCTTCCCGAGTGCACGCTCTAAAAAACTGGGGTGGTCCCAGACAGGAGAGGGACGAGAGCTCTGGTCCAGCTTTTAACTCAGCCACGTTTGAAGACAGCAGGTATGATCCAAGTACCCTGAACTGAGCCCCTCCAGTGATGTAGTGTAGGACGTGCCCTGGCTCCAGAACGGCAGCGGGACTACCTCCAGTTTCTTCTCAAGGTTATTGTACTTTTGAACACGTGCTAGATACGTGGCTAAGATCCACAGGGAATTTTGTATCTCAAAATGGGTGAGGCTATTGATTTCAGGCAATTTTGGGAGTTAAGCGGTGCTAAGGTGTAGACAGTGGAAACCTGATCTCAGAGGTTGGAGTATGGCCCTGTGTTTTTATACATTAATATTGCTCCAAATCCAGGAAGCAGCTTTATACACTGAGTTTATGAAATTCATGCTTGTTTGGCGGGCAAGTTCATAAAACACATCTTTGGCTCTGCTATTTATCAGCAGCTCTCTTTCAGGCAAGCAAGCAAATCTAACTCACCCATTTCTAAGAGAGAACTGCTGTATTAACACAGGAGCACACGAATTTGGCAAGAGCGTGCTCCGGGAGGATACTGCGCACGGTGCAAGCGACTATTGGGCTGCGACAACGAAATTTACTTACAGGTGGTTAAGATAGATTCATGGTGGTTGCAAGGCAGACTCGTGGTAGAAACCTGAGAAATTTTTAACACCTATTCCAGCATCGTGTTATAAAAGGACAGATGACAATTCATGTTGCAGCAAGTTCCAGGACTGGAATCCAGGACTGGGGGATTATTGACCAATGCAGAGTTCATCTTGTACTAAAAACTTGCATCAAAATAGTAGATGTAAGTGCTTGAGACAGTTGGTAGACATAGGGAGAAGCTCTGAGCAGTTTTCAGAAACGAGCAGTTTTAGAGTGTCTTGTTAAATTAAGCAACAAACTCATCAGACAGAAGCACAGGATTGAGAGATGACACCAGAATTTGGGAGCTGTGCTGCTAACCACTTCACTTCTGCATCCATTAACCTTCCACCTTTTGGCCGTCCAACCCATGGAGCTTGCTAGCTGCTTGAGGCAGAGACCGTACCTGACCTGCACTTGTGCAACTGCAGTGGTTCTTCCATCACAATTTTTTGAAAAACTATTTGAATTACTTTTTAGCCCTTGTCATTGAAGCAAAAAGCTCGATAATGTAATCTGAGAGATCTCAGACCGCAGATGACTGGTAAAAACAAGCTGGAATGTATTATTCTGTGTTACACCTCCGAATGGAGAATGTTCAACCCTGCGAGTTGGTGATGCCACCAAGAGGTGTTTGGAGATTTCAGGCACGACCTGACTTAGCCCAGCATTTCTGCCTTCAACCACACATTCACAATGATGACAGACTTCTGCACACTTCTGAGAAACACCTTTTAATATACGACAGGAGTTGTCACATGAATGTCAACAAAAGAAATCATTCCATAGCAATAACAAACTGAAATTATTACACAAATGCAAAAAAAAAAAAACCCAAACAAAACCAGAGTTAAAATGATGAAAGAGCAGTGTGCTGTTACACAATGTAAAACATATACAGAAAGCCACATTCTTCTGTTAAAGGGTCAGATGCTCATCACCATCACAGGAAATAAGTGATTAACACAAAAAGCAGCATTTTCAGAAAAGTTTCTATACCATTTGGACCTTTCGTTGCCTTCTGGTTCTTTCTGCAATCTTATTTTAAACAGGTATTGGGAAGGTTAAAAGAAACTGTCAACAGCACTTGAACAATCAGCATTACTGATATCAGTCAGAAGAAGGTCCTCCCTCTTCCAAAGGGCAGTACGAATGGTATTGCAGAAAACTACACCTATCCGGCAAATGAGCTCTGGTTCAGTTCACTATAGAGAATTTTCCCCTTAAAATAAGCAAAACATGAGATAACCTATCCTTGAGAACTGTGGTGGTTTTGACTCTCCCAGTGGTCTTTTGAGGAGGGGTGGAGCAAAGATATACCAAAGTGAATGTCTGGAGAACAATTCTTGAGATCAGAAGAGGAGGATGTTCCTAGTGTTTTATAAACAAACAAACAGCACTTCTGTAACTGAAGATTTTCAGTATTACTGTATAAAATCATATTTATTAGAAGTAAGACTGGAATACTTTAAGGCACCTCATGGTGAAGAAATATTTTAAAGGCTTGAATAACTCAGAAGATTGAGTTCTTTTTCCAAGATCCCCAAGAAGGAATGTAGCTTATAGTAACCAGCTTTGCTATTTCCAAATAAAGCATGAATATTTTCAAAGTGGAAGTTTAGAACTATTTGAACTTTTCTTTAAAAGGAAACATAAAACACCTTGCTGGAAAGATAATTTGTTCATTTAACAGACCAAGACTTTCACCAAAGGAAGGCCTTTCTCATCCTTAATCTGAGTTTTGCCATTCAGGTACATTACACTTTTTAACTCGACTGAAATTAAACGGGTCAGTCAATCTTAACCAATAGTCATCTAAACAAAACAACTAATCGACAACAACCCCAAAGAATCTAAAACACAATTTCCTGATTAAAATATTTCTGTTACTTTAGACTAAAAAGATGGATATAATGCCAATGATAGACACGAATGATTCGCTATCAGTTGTTCTACTCAGCAATTTACGGGTTTCAAGTGTGACTTTGTAAAAAATCTGTTTTTTCTTATGCTGATATTTGATACCTACAGCTAGTAATGTCCTGCCAAAACATGTGAAGAAGCACAATCAGCATTTTCAGAGATACCTAACATTTTTGTGCACATTCAAAAAGCTACAGGATCAAATTAATTCTAGCTTATAGACGGATAGCTAGATCTGTCAGGGTCTCATACCAGTGAGTCTGCAGCAGCCAGCGTTTTGGAGCTCTGCTCTGAAATGTAACTTACCATAGATTCATTTCAGAGCTGAAATGAACTAAAACTGTAATTATACCCTTGGTTTACACATGCGTATCTCCTCGGTTCTGATAAAAAAAAAACAAAACCAAAACCTCAAGGTATACGGCCAGGAGAACATACTGTTCTCTTAGAGTATTTAAAAGTCTCAGTGTATTATACATCATACATATTCTCCTGTAAGAACTAACTATTTAGAAATGTAACCATTTAGATATGTCCAAGCTGCTCAATAAAAAAGGTAAGCAAATGAGCTCAAGCATCAGACTCCCTTAAGTGTCTACACTGCCTTACTGGTCAACTCACCCTCGCTCTGTTTTGGACCACTCCAGCCAGGTCTCTCCATGACAAACCTTGAGCAGAGTTTGGACATGGTTCACACCATGGATCCCTTCCAAAAAGACAGTTACAGACAAGACCATGCAAGGTTGAACTTTCTTCACGCTACACAGTCCCTAGCATTATCCCACGTGACTTTATGCACTACAACACTTCCCTACCTCTTCTCATACCTCTGCAATACAAGCTCCACTCTACTGAGCTGCAGAATAGCCCTATCCTTATTTCGTACAATTTGAATTGAAAAGGAAACCAAACCAAAACGCACTAGATGGTAACTGCGTGCTAGGTCCATAAGTCGAACGCACGAGCCCAGAGAAGACCCAGAGCCAAGTGATACGGAAAAGTGGATGTTGCTGGTGTGCTCTAAGAAGGATTAGCCATAAGCACTGCTTACATGAGCCAATCTGTGCCACGTGGCTTTGGGGACAGGTGGCTGTCCCTGACTGTCTGCTATTGAAGCACCAGATGTAGCACAAGCCTCATGCTGTGCATCACTGCATGAAGCTCGGTTCCACTGATCTCAACGGGATCTGTTCTGGTGTAAGGTGCTACACACTGCAGAAGAAGTGTCAGAACTTGCCAAAAGAAAGCTAGAGACAAGAGCATTTAATTTTTTAACTTCCTGCTAATGACAGAAGAGGATGTTACCAGCAAAACTAGATGCCTGATGTTTGTTTTTCCCTCCCCACCCAGCAAGGGAAGCTGGCTGGTGGCACAGCAGGTTGTAAGAGGTCCACCCCCAGGATCTCACAGCAGGACAGCAAGCCTCACCGAAGGGAAGATGCTGCAACAGGGGAACAAGGATTCTGCCTCTCACCACTGCGCTGACTCCTGAGCACAACAAAGTCCTTCTAGATGAGCCCTTGTGCTGAGGCACAGGCTTTGGCCTCAATTTACTTCTCTACAAGGAGAGAGTAATTTTGTATTTGAATCAGTTATTTGCTTGTAGAACTGCTTGAAATGAGAAACATTTGTGTTTGCCTTCCTTTTAGACCACTGGGTGAACACTGGGTAAATAACATTTGTGTTACATAGGTAATAGCAAGCATCTTCAGTGTTTTTTTAAAAAGCACAGTATTTTCTATGTCTTGAAGAGATCTGTTGCCTTTTAGTCTCTTCTGTGCCCTTTAAACAGTAAGATGAATACATTTATTTTCTACTGGATGTCAAAGAGTAGGTATCTCACCAAACATGAAAAAAATCTGAAGCAGCATAGCACTTGCTTGATTTTTTTTTTTTTTTTAAAGCATGGGAACAGTGCCTTTGTATTAAAGTGCTTTGCTGAATCAGGACATAACTTAGGAATACCGAACCTCTCTCTCTCACTGCATTCCTCTCACTATCAGCAACAGCCATTCAAAACTACAGGTTGTACTTTCCTACCTATTCTGGTAGGATGGTAACTTCAAACAGCTTGAGTTCAACAGAACCCCTGATGCAAAACTTAAATATACTAAGGTTATGTATTTTTAACATATATTTAATGAATTTGTTGTGTACCCTGCAGTTATAGCTTTGGCTTGAAGGCACAAATATTAAGGCACAATAAATGCAAATAATGTATACATTTCAATGTGTTGTGTTGAAGATAACTTTGTACTACACGGTATTTAGGTATAATGACATGTCATTCAAACGTTTCCTCAAGTTATTTTAATACCTTTTTTTCTTTGATAACCCGGATAAAAAGAGGAATGTATGTTAAATTATTTAAATATTTCTTCAGTGCAAATGTGGTAATTTTCTTCTAAAGTATAGAAGATTGAGATTGATTTTTCAGCATTTGGATTTTAGCAAAATAAAACTACTATTTACATTCATCTTGAACAGCATTATTTGCATTATTTATCAAAAAAAAAAGTATATAGTACTTCTTGAAGAAAAAGTATTTTTGGCTTGTTCAACTCTTTTTCTACCAACCTGCATAGCTACTTATGACAGGTAGAAAGACAGTTACATTAGACAACTAAGTTGTACACTACCGAATCTGCTGTTTAGACATAGCTGTCATGCTAAAGTGACACTGAAAAAATTTTGGTTTCGCTTGCTCTCAAAATATTTCCAAAAGAGGAAAAGGACACATTCCAATTTTTTTTATAAGCTCCAAATACGCACCCTAGACCTGTTAGGTGTCCTGCACCTATTTAAATAAAAGAGATCTCTACCACATAACTTTCAAATAAAAACTGAGCCTGCCTAATTTCCTTAGCAACACAAACATAACTTGTTGGAAAGGAAAACATATTGCACTGAAATTAAAGAAAGAGGGACAGTAAAAAAATTTTCTTCTCACTATTAAATAGGAAGGATGTCCAGTGCAAAGAATCGCCCCTTCCCTTTCATCTTCCGTTGACACTTGCAAACATCGTCACAGAGTTTAGACATTCTCAGGTTTACATTCTATGGAAAACAGTTAAGGTTATTAGGAATCACAGTGCAGTTTCAGTTACGCATAATCCTGAGGAAGGATCCAAGGAGGAGTCTGTGGCAAGTTGACCATTCTGAACAACTTCTGGGTAATTCTTACTGAAGTACACCTAGGAAAAATATCAGATTCTGTGAGTAATTATGCATCAAACACCTTTTAGTTACAAATAAAATTTCTGGAGATAAATACAGTAGAGATAAATACATGTCCTTAAGAAATCCCAACAGGAACTTCAGGTTAGTGGCATTCAGTAACTGTGTGTCACTGAAAAATTAGTAGAATTACTGCATGATCTTACATTATAACAAAGCGTGAGAAAAATCCCACACAACCTGTAGATCCACTCAAATTCTGGTAATTCAGATAAATAGATATGTTTTATCACTTTACATTAAACTGATAAGTAAAATCATTTTACTAGCTCAAAACATGGAGATAAATTAAAAACAGGATGACAAAGAAGCTGTGAAATCTTGCGTCTGCACAAGGGTTTCTCATTTTCACACATAAAATGAACACAATGGATTTCGATGTTAATATCAGGTTGTAATCCCTATATTTTACAAACTATGATTGACAACCATTGAAACTTCGAGGTATATGTATGAAATATCCCAGCGTTTAATTTGTGCTGCAGAGCAGTTATAGGGCCTATAGAAATGTGATCTCTGGATAGTGAACCACAATAATGAAAGAAGAAGCAAAAGCTTTAACAATGACTCAACCAAGCAACTTCTCTAAAATGTAAGATGATACCAAATAATAGGACAGTTCTTTGCCAAGCCTTTGAGTTCATGAATTCTACCAATTTCTAGCTCAACTAGAAAAGATACAGGTTTCCTGATAAATGTATAATCAGAACATAAAGGAAATGAAATGCTGTCAAGTTTCACTGTTCCACAATCATCAGTTTTTAGTAGCTGTATCATATCTCTGTTCCTTGACAGATGCGCATAACAAAATGAAATAATGTCAGGACTTGTGTGCTCTTATCTAAAAATGTGTTTGGGTGAAAAAGGACTTCAAATGCAATTTTTTCAAAGAAGAATGTGAAAAGTTTTGTTTGAATCTTTAAAAACAGAAAATACACTATCTTTCTGAAGCTGACATGTGTCACGAGTTAGGTCTCATAGTCAGACTGCTTTGACTACGGCTTATGAAACATTTCTCCAATTTATATTTGAGAGTGTTGTCAATAAAGTTCAGTTTGTTTGATAATAATGTCCTTTTCATATATATGAATACATGTATAAGACACGCAGGATAAAAAAGAAATAGTAATTCTATAAAAACATTCCTGTAAGTACCACTGTCATATTTTGTGCACACGTGCTAACGCAGGATATATACATCTTTACAAGTTTCAAAGAATATTAAGGTCTGATTTGAATCAACAAAAGAATTGGAAGTCCTGTTAAGAGGCATTCCTCAGTAACCAGCCACGATCGGATGCAACAGAGGAAAGTTAATCAGGCGCTTGCCTGCACACACGCTGCGGAGACGGCAGCCCCAGTTGTGTATTCCCATCCCGTTCCTGGTTTAAAACATAAAACTTTGGCATACTTTTAATGCAGCTTTTGAATGTGAATTTTTTTTTTAATAGAAAGTTAATAGAAAACCTTGGCACATTACTAGAGACGTAATGAAATGGCAGCTGCTTTTCAACTGTCTCATTGCAATTCCTCCCCTGAGCCCAATCCCTCAAGATATTAAATGCCCAAGTCTTTATACAAGTTTCTTCCACTGCCAACAGAGCTGCAACCTTTTTAAAAGTAATCACTGAGGTGAGATAACACCTAGTATTTTAATATTTACACATCTGTCATAGCTTTAAAATAAAATAACCTTTATTTTTCCCTCAAAGTACTCAAAAACTGATTGACAGAAAACCAGCCCTATCCTGATGCCACCAAAGCTTGCAGAAAAGCCTCTCTCAATGCTGCCAAGAGCATGGAGAACACACCAACTTTTGTTTATCTGAAGAAATGAGCACTTTTTTTTTTTCCCTTTTTAACTGTTTGATGACTATTTCTCACTTTCACATAGGATTTTCTCCTAACAGCTTCTTGTAAACTGAGCAAAGACAAAAACATAGTCTCACAAGCACAACTCTATTGCAGTCAGGCTCACAGGCTAGTTAATAGATACTCAGCGGTCTCCAATTTGAGCCATGCCTGTGTCGTTTTCTTTGACATCTGCACAAAAAACAGGGATACTGAGTGACCAAGAGAGACATACAAATAGCAACGCTGGATCAATTCAGAAGCCTGAGCTAAGGTTCCAGCAGCAGCTCTATCTTGCAGTGCTTAGCTAAGATGCCCAAGAGATTTTTTTGAAAATTAGGTTTCTTCAAAGATGTCCAAGTTACTCTTCCAATTTAAGATGTGTAGTCCCTCTTCATTTGCACTTAAAGGATATGTGCAGAATTTATACTGTTCCAGAAAATGCATTTAAAGTCTCACCTTACTGAAAGAAGCTCTTGGTACAAGTTTATTCTGCACAAGATTCAGGTCCAAAATGCAATAAATCAAATAATCATTGCCAAAGCATGGCCACATTCCAAACCATTTCACTTAGCAACCCACTGTAACGCTTTTGAAAAGTATGTATATATGTCATATTACCATTTCTTTTTATGTGCAGCATGCTGTTTTTTCAACAACAGAAAAAAGCTGTTCTTCATAAAAACAGTTCTTAGTAACCACAGTAGGAATGTGAGACCAACAGCAATACATGTAACAGACTTACTAGTGTAAAAAGAAAAGCCGTTGGAATCAGCTCTTCTGACTAAGCAACTTCTCTGAAAGTATGCATGAAGCACAAGGGACAGCAATAACAAAAACCTTGAATTAATGTCCAAGTCCTTCAAACAGAAAGAAGTGTAACTGTGCTTCTGGGTAGCTGCTGACTGGAGATATAGTCTCTCGATTCCCATATTTTTGGGCTGAGCAGGGATAAGCACCATGCTTTGCATTCTTGGCAGATGCTAAAGCTTGTATCTGCCTTCTAGCCTGGGAGTTAGCAAACTTCATCAAACCACATTTCAGCAGACTGGTTCCTGGATCTCTTCCCTTCCTGTACAAAATCACATAACATTGATGTGGTAACTGCAGATGACTATATGGGCAAGTAACATCAGGCAATTATTTTTATATATTTTGAGTTATCTTTGAACGCAATTGTGCAATTGGGGAGGACTGCAGGGAAAGAAGGAGAGACAGCATGACATGGCTAAATCTCTACAGATGACAGCTGGACAGCCTCACCTCTTGCCATTCCAAGGATCAAGCCTTAGGAAGCTAGCCTTCACTTTACAGACAAACACTAGTCATATGAATTTGAAGCTATCCTTTTAAACATCATTTATGTAACCTCCAGATTGTCGTACACATACCATAAAAAACATGGCTAACCCATTCCTCTCTAGTAATAAAATATAAGAAGCTACGTTGCAGCAACGGTGAAGGACAGCGGGACTCATTGCATAGTCTAGTTAAGGACAAAGCTGTTTCCTCAGTTCTGCAAGTAGTGCCACACATGAATTTACAGTGTACGCTCTTGGCTACAAAGCTTCGCTTGAAAAACTCTTTTTTTTTTTTTTTTTTTTTTTAAAAAAAAAAAAAAGAGGTTTCAGCAGCTCTAAAAAAATTCTAAGAATATGAACAGACCCAGAAATCTCTTCCCTAATCTGCAAAAAGTCCAATAAAATAGCAGACATGAGTATGCAGCCTCCATGACAGCACAATTTTTCATTTTTTCCAACTTGCTGGAAAGGCATCTATTTTTACTAGCAAATAGCCAGGCACCTGCCATTTTGTTTCCTGTCTTTCTGTGTTGCTTCCTGTCTATTGGTCTCCTGTTTCCCCAGGAAACAGTTTGGAGTTTGTGTTCCCCTAGCTCTGCTCCACACATCCAGCAACTTGAGGAGAGGAAAGCATAAAGGCTAGAGATAAGACCTTTGCCTCTTGTCTTGAAAAGGCTCTCTTAGGTCACTACATGACTAATACCAGTGCCTTACTTGCACGCCGAAAGTAAAGTTACATGACTATGAAGCAAGTTGCTGACAAACTGCGTACCGCCAGTCTCAGCTGAAGTGGTGCCGAAACTTCATTGGCACTGAGAGAAATAAAACCTTGCTCTGGACATCCTGTGTGGTAAACTATCAAGAAAAAAGAAATCAAGCCAAAAGCTAGTCAAAATGAGTTCCTCAATCACAGGTCAATTTTTTATCTTCTTATCTCTGCTTCAGCTTTCCGTCTGAAAAGTGGAGATGATATAGTTTCACCTCAGAGTCATATTATGAAAATTCATCCATTGATGTTTCTTAAACACGTTGATTGCCAGAGGAATGCTCACGATTACATTAATAATTCTGTACTCAGAGTAGGATTTGAATAGTAAGCAGTAAATTGGGCACAGAGCCTTTTAGGAGGCAACAAAACATTCAACAGCTATTTCTTAATGGAGCCCTGCTCATCCCATGTGCAGAACAGAGCAAGGGTACAAGAACGAAGTAAGAGAAAGCACAAAAATAAGAATGTGATCACACCCCCCAGAGACCATAATATAATGCACAGGTACTGAACCTCAAACGAAAATGTGAGGGGCCCTTTTAAAAATATAGAAATAACAGATGAATGCTGGACTCTGCAGCCCTAACGTGTTTTTACAGCACATTTTTCGAAGATCAATGCCCAGCACAGGTGAGTATGTCATATATTATTTACACTTACCGTTTTGTGTACATACAGAAGGATGCAAGAAATCCAAACAGTCTTTCAACTCGGGGTATATAAATACACTTATCATTTGGAAGTCTGTGTATATCCCACTAAAAAAAGCACTGAAAATGATGGCTTTGCCTTGCAAAGCTGACAGATTCTTTAGTGGAAGGCTTACTATAACACTGAATATGATAACTTGAGATAAACAAACTGCAAACTTAATTATCCCTTCTTCTAAAATTACCCGTTTTGCTGTTTCAATCAGAGAAGCCGCTTCAGTCTTGCCCACTTGTTGCACCATTTTGTAAAACAAGCCGTCTTGTTCTTGCAGCAAAATGTAAGGTTCACCATATTCTTTCACTCTTCCTGCATCTAAAACCTGTTAAATCAGCAGAAACCAACATATTAACATAAGAAATTAAAAAAACAAATGTTAGAGTCTACAAGCAAGGGGGAAACATAGGCATTTCAAGTCCTAAGATGAATTTTGTATCCTGAAAATGAAATATGTCCTCTTCAAACTAGCATAGCACTTTTTCAGTTTATACACCTATTGTACAATTTTAGAGTGCCCTACAGCCATTCCACCTATAGGAATCCAATGCAAAGTTATGCAGAATATGGAAATACAAAGTTTGTGAAGCCAACAAAGCAGATTATAAGATTCATTGTGTAAGAAAGAAACAAAGAGGCCTAAAATGGGCTCTGAAGTAAACAGCTGTGGGTAAAAACCACGCAATAACCACCATGACGGTTAAGGGAGAATAAGTAGGTCTTTTGGATTAGAGGAGGTGAAGATGTAATTAAAGAAAATGAGGGTGTTGCTGAAAAGATAAACAATTTCTTGCATCAGTTTTTGCCAACTACATATTAGAAAGATACTTACCCTGAACCTATTCTTTCTACATAAAAAAAGACGAGATGCCACCAGGGACATAGGTACCCAAAAGTGAGGAAGGGAGAAGGAAAAAACAACAGAAAAATTAAAAAGGCGTTAAGTCAGTAAGCCACAGAGGATATACACAGTCAAAAATATCAGAAAAAATTCAAGAATAAGCTGATTGAACCTTGAAGAAAATATTCTCATACTAACGACTTTATTTAAGGACTGCATGGTAGCAAATATTGCACTTGAATTGTGAAAAGCCTTGTGGGATTAATTCAGGGAACTTTTAGACTAGCATATATGTTTTGAGATAAGACAGCAATTTAGTTAAAACAGTCATTAAAACACAAGTAGAAGACACACAGATCACAGGTAGAATTTGTTCTCTACAGTTTTAGCAAAAGTAAATTGTACCTCACAGATCTGATACAATTCTTAATGCATCAGAAGAAAATGGTTTATATGGACATCCAGAAAGGTATCTGGCGTAACTGAACAGCTGTGCTACAAGGGACAAAAATTTTTCAAGAACCTGGGCAGAAAACAAGAGATTAGGTAGGAACTGGTGGGAACCACATCGTTATGGCATATGTGGTAGCTATGTATGTGTTAGCCATCAGAAAAAGGAGCTATGAGGAATGTGACAAACCTGCAAACAACACGAAAATGTGCAGGTAAGTCTAGACCAGAGGAGATACAGATACACGTTACTAACCTAAGAGAATAAGAAACACAATAGCAGGGAAAAGTCAATATTGACAAATGCAATGCCCTCAAATACTTAACTGGCTTATAAATTAATGGTATTGACTCAAGAAAGAGATTTGGGTATGAGTCTACAAGTTCAGTATTTTAGTCCATGTGTAGGAGCAGTGAAGTTAAAAAAGAGAATTTATGTGAGAAAACAAAGTAATTAAGAAAATGTTTTTGTTCTTATGTAAATAAGAACCTGAATACACGTGGAATACTATTGAAAAAGATATTGCCACAACAGAGGAACTTTAACCCAAGCCAGAATTCTGGTGTACGTACTTGTAAGGAGAAAAAAAAAATCTAAAAACCTGGAGCTGTTGATTTCAGGAAAGAAAAGAATAAAAGGTATTATGAGGACAACTTCCAAAATAACAAAAATAGTTTGCAAATGTCTGTTTCCAAGAAGAAACTCCAATAAACTTGGAAACAAATTCAAAGTCCTGTGAGGAAACTTTCAAACATGCGCTTTGCCTGTGCAACTCCTTAAAGCAAAACATCCTGATGGCCAAGATCTCCAAGCGGCCTGGGCCCCTGTTAATGACAAAACCCGCAGTGAAGCAGGACAGCTGAGCTGATCCCTTTGCCTGCGCTGGTGGGAGAATTGCACACTGCCAAGATCGCTGTCGACTTGTTTTTGACACCAGGGACCCGGCACCAGGGGAAAGGCGCCCGCTCCTTTGCTTCCGGTTCAGGTAAGTACATGGCATTTGAATGGAAAGTAACTCAGCCAACAACAGCAGCGTAATTACATCTAAGTTTAAAAATTGTATGCACAGAAACCTCTAAGAAGTTATTTGCTGTTTTCAAAAGCTCGTATGTTAAGAGCACCCAGCTTATACTATGATTTTCCTTTGCAAGCGATTTCCAATACTGTTCGGTATATAGCTGATAAAAGTGCTTGTGGAAAAATTTTAAAATATTAGTAATATTGCATAGCACGATATATAGTCATTTAATATACAGTAGACGCGGTATTTCACCTGCAAAGGTATGCTTGTGCACATGTTGATTTTCCAGGGTACTTAGTCCTATCCCATTTAATCCGAATATTTAAGGATTAATTACAAATATAATTTTAATCGCAATCTTTTGTATACCACAGTATGTCACAGTTAAGGACAGCTTGCTTAAAAATGCCATTAATTAATTAATCATATACAGTTCAATGTAATAATTAGAATTGGGGTGCCACAGCGTAGAACATCTCTGGTGCCCTGAATAAGTAAAGTTTTTTTTAGCATAGCACTAGATTATGTAACCACTCCTTAAGAAAGAAAACAAAAAAGCATCTTCATTAAATGTGTCTCTCACAAGAAAGAACTACAATAGAAAAACAGAGGGTTTTAAGAATTTATATTACTGTGGTATCCGAATTTTAACATTAATTTTGCAAATATCTGAAACAACCACAAACACGGACAATCTTTCTCCTCCAGAGAACCTGGGAGGGAAAAAGGAAAAATTTATTCTTCCTTGACAAGTTTTAAACAGCCAAGTCCAGAAGACGAACAGATAGAGCAAGCGATTTGTGTCTAGAAAAATTCCATTCACATTTTAAACAAATCATTAATCTATTCATATCCTTTCTTGGCGAATAAAACCAAACTTGTTTATGAAAATAGACAGAACAAACACAGGGAAAACAAGCCACGTAACTTTTTTTAAAAATCTGAAATGAAAACTAAAGAATGAAACCAGACACGCAATATCACTCCTACAACTCAGGAATACTCTATAAACCCTGTTCACCAAGGAAAAACACTGTTTCTACTAACTGCTGTCATCTACAAGACAACGGAGAAAATTTAAGCTGATTTACTTGGTAGTTATACATTCATATATTTATACGTTTATTAAAAAGCGCTTAGACAAAGAGATAGGTACTCTTCTTTGAAGAAATAGGTGCTGATAAAATTTAAATAAATAAATAGGCACTTTGGCTAAGGCTTTGCATACTCTTACTCACTGACTCCAAGCCAAATTAAAATCATCAGGACTTCAAAAAGCCAGCTAATCATTCAGGAAAGGTGGAATCTGGTGTTTACCAGCCACATATTTTCTGATCAACTTGCATGGAACGCTTATCACCGCACGGTACGACCGAACCGAACCCAGATGCGTTCCAAGGCAGCTGTACCCGTGGAACTCGATACAGAAAAGACAGAGAAGCTTGTAGCCGGCGAAATCAGATCGGCAGGGTGATAACAGAGGACACACACAGGAGCATAGGACTCTGAATCGGACTGGGATTTCATTATAGACTAACACAGATATCGAGAGAGGGGGATTTTAGACAAATTATTCAACTTTTCAGCTCCTCGGTCTGACTCTTCGTAAAATACACCAAATAAAGACTCACAAACATTCTGTGGGAGTTAACTGCCTGTGAAATACTTAGACAGCCCAGAGTAAAATAAAAACAAACACAAAAAAGCTATATAAACCCCAAGTTGTCATACATAAACCAGGGCCAGATTCTTCACTGTCTTGCACTGGCAGCTTCTTTTACCTCGCCGGCACTGTTCTTGCCTTTGTAGTCACACCCTTTTGACTTCATCAGGATTTTCTTAAGTGGAAGAGTAACTCCAACAGTACAAAATTTACCGAATTGGCTGCTGGTGATCATGCAAAGGAAAGCACGCACGAAAATTCTTCTTCAATGGAATTTGCTCGCGTCCTTGTGCAAGGTGAAACTGTACTTTACTTATAGCTATCCACATTATGCTTACTCAAGCAGCACTATTCAGACATCTTAAGTTCAAGCAGGGCTCAAATGCTATCTTTTTCTTGAGTAAAATCCTCTCATGCCACCTAATTTCACTTGTTTCATCCCAGTTGAAGAGTCTGGGGCAGTGACTGCTCATCCCAGTTGTGTTTTTTTCAGAAGGATAAGCACCATGCTGGGTAGAAGGCAACACAGTTTTGAACAGCACTTTGTTTGACATAGAGGCACAGAATAACATAGACAGACTGAGAGTAAAAACCTGGCATGGAAGGACAGTGAAACAGAAAAGAAGTATTTGAATTTGACTGACCTGCAAAGGCCAACGTGAAAATGGAGTATTAGACATTTAAATGTGTTGTTTACGTTAACTCTAGCTAGCACAGAAGGACTATTTGCCTATGCAACAAAAATATTGCTGAACTCAATTTGTGTAAGATTGGGCAACTACAAAACAGTTGTCCATTTTGCCTCATCTGTACCCCACCAGGTTATCTATCTCCACTTTGCCTAGGTCTCCCCCTGCAAAAACTCCAAACTTTGCAGTATTTCCATTCTATAGTCTCATAGTTTAATGTATTAACCATGACAAAAAAGCAGGGGAGGGAAGACAAAAAGCAAAACATAGAACAGTGAAAAAGAAATCAGATTGATGTCACAAAGAAGAGAGAAACAAGACAATGAACGACAAGGATGCTTCATCACGGTAGTCCAGTTTCCAGCAGAGACCTAGGCAGCAGAACCAGGACAGAACCTTTTCTCCCTGATGATTCCTGCAACTAAGCTATATTTTTCTGTTGCACAGGACTTTGGGAAAAATTCCATTCATTTTGTAAGTGAATTTAAAATCTTCTTTGTGGATTAATATAAGTGAAAGAAGCCGTGGAAAAAGAAAGAACATGGTCCCTTAAAAATGCTGTAACAAATACCATGTACTTACGGCTAGCCATAGACACAAAAAAGAAAGTTCTAAATCCTGCATTTTCTAACTTTCAGCAACAAAAGCAGACAAACCAAG